TCTTTCAATCGTTCACAATTATGCCGTTGAAATTTGTACAAACGGATAAAGCCTAGTGGTTTCGGAGCACAATATTAAAATCTGAGGAACCACTATGTGGATACCTCTGCGTGTGTGTGTGCATTGCACATCACATCCTCTTGTTTATCTCACATGTGGTTAGAAGCCAAGGCCACACCCAGACCGTTCATTAGTATTCCTTTTAAAGGCAGTTTCTACCGAAACCTTCATAAGGCAACCGAATGGAGTGGTAAAAGGCACATACAACGCCATTCACCTACACCACTTTTCGAGCATTCGCTAACGAAAAAAATTACGGAATAAAAATAAACTACCGGAGTTGACCGCTTCAATGCGTTTGTGACACACTTTGCTTCGGTTGTGCGGTCCGCCATTTATGCATTCCCATGAGAGAACACCGTCTGCGCTAGTTGAGTTCAGGTGGTTCCGGATCTAGCTCAAGTACAATTCTCACCCACTTGATAGACATTGTGGCCATCGTGTTAACACCCAAGTGAAACTGTCCATATTATTTACTAGGTTCCTCGGAATCGGTTTAAATAGGTTAGAATTAGTTGATAAGTTTCACAATATCAGATCCAAATTTGGAAAGGATGTTATTGAAGTAATTGTGCGTCATGCTCATAGTATTTGATCCCTGTAGGAAAACGTTTGGATTAGCCATGACGTTGAAAAACCAAAAAAAACAAGTATATTTTTTGGTGACGACGTTTCGACCCTCTTAGAAGGCTTTTATCAAGTCAATTGATATCCGGTATAAATAAACCATAGAAAAATCTATACCAGTGTGGCAACTCACGGTGCACTGTTAAAAATGCTGTCTTAGATATGACGCCCACCTGACCATAACACAAGTTATGATTGGTTCATTGTGAAGACTACGATCACGTGATCGGCAAATGTACTTTTCTGGGTGGGACGACTATTCATGTCACAAACTGTGATCATTGCGCGGTGAAAATCCAAATTATAATAATCAGTAAAGAAAATCAGTATTCGCATTTAAATCACAGTTGGGTCGTGAAATAATTAATATTTATTTGAACTAACCATCTTACTCGGACTTCATCTTCACCTACATTCCTCAGTTCTCCCAGTCAACTATACACTCGAATTCCACTCTCCCCGGAGTTCATCAGTAATGTATATCCACCGTCTCACCGTCCGGGTTTTGAACTCCCGACCTATCGCATGGAAGGCGTGTGTGTGTGTGTTACACCCTAGTACCCAGCTCACGTTATTATTGAAGAAAGTGAGTGGCGGTTTAGCTTCCACAGATCCACCGCGATGTTCCACGTTCTAATCATTTCATTTCAGCTTCTTATTCCATGGAAATTAGGTCAGCCTATCAGGAACAAGAGTTTTACGTGGACTAGGTAAAGTGAAAAGTTTATCACATGACAGGACTGAGAATACTATCAGATCAACAAACAGAATTGCACTCGGAATCGGAATTTCTGGATTCCAAGACCAGGAAAAAGGCGGTAGTTAGAATCGGATTATGCAGTGAGAAACCTAAATGATCATCGACCAATCAGCATTCTTTTTCTTCGACTCTTATTATTCCCGAACGAGCCAGTGAGAAGTGGATTGGTACAAAATGCTTGTTGATCAGTGTGATACACCACCAAGGGCACAAATCATTGGCTGGCCTTAGCTCAGAGCTTTGGATGAACAACAATAACAACAACACTAGTAAAGATAACGACAGGTAAAAACACTTTTAAAAAGATTTCCTTGTGATCAACAAAATCGGTACAGAACTAATTTGACTGAAGTGTTTTTATTCAAATGGGAACGTCATCATTGCGTTTATCTCACATTCTGGGTTTTATCAACTTCCGTTAAATCATTTTCTTTCTTGCATCATAAACTGTTCATATTGCGGATTGCACGAAAACCAAGTTGAGATTCAAACAAAGGAATTATTGATCCATTCGGGACTGTTATTCAGCCGTACAAACGGTCTCTGGTAGCGTGATGACAAAGTTGAATCAAACAATCTGGGGATCAAGACCCAGATGCATTGATTGTCATATTTTTGAGCGAATCACCATGTGAACTGCCATCAGTAATGCATCGGCTATTCTTTATCGATAGAGTAGGTTATCTTGCGCGATGTACAACTTGGCAGTCATTGTCAGATGTGTTTGGCACGTCGACGGTCTAAACACGTAATCATGTTCAGATGCAGCTTGGAAATTGGGTGTTCACTGGGGAACGTGCGACTCTTCGAGAACAGAGATAGCAAATGTGGTCCCCATTATAAGTGAACACTTAAACGCATTGAAACTATCTAGTTGATATACTCAGAAGTATCAGTCTCATGTAAAAATCATTCAGCACCTGAAAAATTGTCTTACGAATGCAACAGTTCGCTTAACCTTGTGATGGTTGCAGGTCAAACAGCATAATGTGGTAAGTGATGCTACTCACAATCCTTTCAATTCATAATTGTACTAAAATTAACAAAATCTACTTTCAGTTAACGGTTTCGCATATTGCAACACGCTTGAGAACACCTCATTCCAGTTTGTGCGTGGTTGATGTCCATATCTCACTTGATCTCTGCTTCTCATTCGATGAAATTTGGCTATGAATCTGCCCGACGGACCGATGTCTGTTTAGCTAGTACCGTAATTTCTGATTTGGGGCACAGTTCACGCACACACGATATTCTGCGTATCCGTATCCATGATAATCCTGTCAAATACACACATGTTGAATCGAAAACGATGCAATTCTGTGGTAATCGACCAACGAGTACGCACGCAACATGATACACCATCCTAGGTGACCAATCAGGAAACAGATGTCCCGATTAATCCGGTGATTTCAAATCGAATCAATCGGATTGGTTGAATGCAAAAAGGAAACAAATTGAACAATATTATCGTCGATTTGACATCTAAAATTGGACCAACGATTGTTTGATGCTTGTGATATTTATTTGCATGATTTTTCGAATAGAATGAACTGTATTTACAGCTCCTTTTGGTTTCACTTATCTCCAAATCCAAGTTCACACAATTCGATTCCGATTACACTATTGCGAATATTGCCAAATCTCGGTGAGAATCAAACTGTTATGATGAATTACGATTTTTTTTCACAAATTAACGGACTTAAGTTTTTTCGTTCCGAGCGGTTCCACTAGCAAAGAGATGGAAAAGTCGGGGTTGTTGTTATTGAGATTTTTGAAAAATACAGTACTTTTTCTTACAATTAAAGAAAATTTATCCAACCATCAATCATTTTTTAATCCAATGTTATCTGTCCGACATAGCTCCCTCTCATAGAAATCCCGATCATCGGTTGCAAAATGCAAGTGATATTTCACATCATCATCATGGAAAAGTCGAAGAAATCAAAAGCACCATACAGTAAATGTAACTACCAGTATCAAACAAGTTCCGGTAATTTTCTTCAGAATGACCGTAGATGTTTGTGGTCTGGTTATGTGAAGATGTAACACTATTAATCTATTAATCACTAATTCTGACCATAAAAAGTTACTTTCTTTTCTTTCTTTATTTTACTTCCTTTTATTGAACACACAAAGATACAATTTTCAGGAAGGAGGTTGCGGCCAATCAAACGGGGCGGCTGCCATTCAACACACACACACACAGACAATGGGGGAAGGTCAGGCAGTGGTCGTGGGATTCGAACACACATATCCCCGCGGGGTGATAATTTGGTGACGTTCCCACCGGACCACCACCGCTTTAATTCAATTTTTTCAGCTGTTGAAAATGCATATGTGGATTATTCATTTGTTTCTTTGAAAGCAGCTCACAATATAGTACATCATTATAATTCCCTCCAACCTCAAAGCATAGTCTTGTTTCGGTGGAGGGATCCGTGGGTGACTGCAATGGAACAGCTTCATCACGTTTCATCTGTGAGGTGTTTTGTTTTAGGCCAAGAAACGATTGATGCATTGTGTTAACTGAATCCATGTTTTGTTCTGCCAACAGAGTTTTTCTTTACGGATATGTTGAAACGGATTCGATTGGTGCCTAAACCTTTTCAACTGTCTCTCACAGTTACCCGTACCCACCAGGTTCGATCATCTGCTCCTCGTCACCGCTCGTCACCGGTCAATATGGATGACTGACCAACCTTCAGTGAAAGAAAGTTTCCGTATCAATTTTCACATCTACTTTGTACTGATACATCAACAACTTGTGTTTTACTCATGTTATTCGATGTAATCATGTTCTTCGTATTACACCAGAAGTAAAAGGTAAAGTGGTTAAAAAGGTGGGATTTGTGGGTGGATCTGTTTTATTTCCTTTATTGGTTAGGGAATATGCAAATTTACAGCCAACATTCAGGAGGCGGGCCGCGGTCAAACAAAAGCTACTTGGGAAATACAGAAATCGAGCAGACGGATGGCGGTGGAGTGAAACGATTTGGGAGAATAGCTAGTATGCAAGTGTATTTAGTCATCAAACGAGGTAAACGTGTTACTGATCACTAGAAAAACGTCATTTTTTGCTGTGCAGAATTTTCATCGTCAGCAGAAATTACCGGTAACGCAAGTTCGCCTAATCTTCTGGGATTCGGGAACCCGGGGCACAAACCACTTGGCTACAATGCAGCAGCTGACCACACATCAATATTCACTAGTTTTGAAAGCATCACAATTTTTCAAGCCGTAATTGACTCTCTGACTCACGATTTCTAACGAAGATGAAATAGGCACAGAGTGTTTCCAAGGTTTGCCTGTGATGAACGATTCTATTGCACTGTATGTTGAGTTCATTTTTATCCTTTGCTCTCGTGTTTGCAATTTAGGAATTAGCTTAACGTTTAAAACCAACTTTATTTGTTCCACTCGAGATGTCAGTGAGGATTGGTAGACGAACCAGTCTGCAGCAGTGTATTGATGACATAGTCACTTGACTTCACAGCTAAAACGGGATATCATTCCAAATAAAAGTTCACAAATGATGTTTTCTCGTGTCACAGAATCACTTACGATGTGCATCCAATCTGGTGTATCCTTCACCCACCCCGGCACTGGTCCGTACACGACACGTGTATAGACCCAAATCGGCATGAGTAATATTCGCGACGGTCAGTCGTACATCGGACAAACGATAGAATTCTTGCTCATCCATGTCCATGCGTTGGGACAGTACGTTGTCAGATCCGGGAGAGAATGGAATGATTGTGCTTTCCGGACTGGGAATTGAGTCGGTCAGGGTGGTGGGTTCACGAGCGATTTTGTGGTATTCAACTGGAAGAGGAAAACCCGGGAGCGCGTGTTGATTGTACACGAAATTTATCTCCCAATGCACGAATAACAAACAAATAATAGAAATGAAATTGCAAATTTAGGCAAACGGTTCTCGAATAGAAGTTTTTCTCTTGGGTTTTGTTGGACTGATGATTTGTGATTCATTATGCGGGGGTGGACTGGGCAAAACGTTTCGGGGACTGCGTTTGATTTTCGTATCACATAATCCACATTGCCTAAAGTTTATCTATCTATCTATCTATCTATCTATCTATCTATCTATCTATCTATCTATCTATCTCTAGTATCTATCTATCTATCTATCTATCTATCTATCTATCTATCTATCTATCTATCTATCTATATTTTATCTATCTATCTATCTATCTATCTATCTATCTATCTATCTATCTATCTATCTATCTAATTTTCATGTACCTTTAATTTTGGATTTACATCCAATCACTTGACTTTTACCAACTTCTGTTTGATGCTGATTTAACCGGTCAGGTTAACGGGTAGGTTCCCGTTGGGGTCAGAATCGAGAGTACAAGACACGAATCTTCTGTGCTTGAAGACTTCAAACGTCAAATAGGGATTAGGAAACTCTTAGCTTGCGCATTCAATTGATTCATTGCTGAAGTTCAGTCCACCAGCGTACCTTCAAAGTCAGTCGACAACAAGGCTACTCACTGAACAGACACACTCGTTCATTGGATCATTCATGTTACCGAATGAAGTCAATGAGAGGCAATTTTCACTGCTAAAGCAATAGCAGTCTATTGCTCAGAGTACGAGAACATTAGACATTAAAGTCGATCAATTCAGACAGCATACGACAACAAGAAAAAAATTTTTGCAACCAATTCTATCATGGCATTTTGAGAGCCCCGAACTACTATTTCACTTTGGCTGAAGGCTCCTAAACTGCCAAGTTTGACTTCATTACTACATGAGAACCTATCACTGAACTACGATATACGCAATTGAAGCCAGCAGTGCTCTGAAAGTACTGATGTAGGCAAGGAATGTGCTATTTTCCAATACCCTCTTCCCAGGAGAGTTTTTCTTGGTCTTACCGATAAAGTACATTCTAGAGTATGCGCCCTCTCATGACGAGCAAACATATCTGGTGGACTGGTGAGATCCGTTCGCTCCGCTGAGGTGTTCGCCTCTGGGCCAGACGTTCTGAAGATTGTGTAAATCCTGTCAGCATCCAACTATCTTGCGATTGGTCAATCTGAGGTTATCAGGGTCCATCGCGTTTGGAATTAGATACGAGGCAATTTATTTCTGCAGGTATAATTATGATTGCTTTCCGTGGCCGGAGCAAGATTCTCTTCATTTTAGCCTCTAGCCCCGGGGCTAGTACTCGACTCAAGGTTCGAGGGTAATCAAGCTTGATTTTCACTCCTCAACCAAGGTTATCCCCACTGAACCCTCCATTATTCATGATCGGTACCTGTGAGATAGACATTTCTGTTATTACTCTGCAAAAACTGTGCTCTTCTAACATAGAGAGAGAGGACGCAGCGGGGAAGGATAGCACATCTGTTGCTGGGGTACAACTTGATGTCAATCCATGCGGAAGAAATATGACCAGGGTATGGATACAGGCTGATTTGTCTGAGTGCTTTTCCCTGTCCACTGAACGTGAGATGAACTTCCTGAGAAACGTTGAACTTGTTGAAGTATCAGAAAGTTGGTCTCTCGTTTGATAATCACCTCAACGAACCAAATTTGGATACGATTCTGTTCAAGAAAACATCATCTTGGTGCAAATTCATTACACTTTCATCAGTACTTCTTATCACGATTAGCGTGTACCTGTTGAACCAAGCGATGGTGGCCCGGTTCTAGCATCGCCAACTAATCTTCTGGGGAACGATTGTTCGAGTCCCATCACCAAGCCCAACTGTGCCCATTGTTTGTTCTGTACGAGCCCTTTGCTTGAACGATTCCCCTTCCCGAAAATATTTGTGTATTCAATTAAAAGAAATAAATTGGAAAAGAAAAGTGGTCATAATGCTGTGATCATATTAGATGGGCCTAGAGGCCTTGCTACTTATGACAATTATCACTTATGTTGCGTTTGCAAGAGTGACCCCGCAGGTATCGAACAGGTGAACGCAAACAGACATGCATATGGCATGCGCTCACATAGTTCTTTAATAGCAAATGTTACCAGACAATCAAGCTTGGATTAGCCCATTTGATTGTTGAGAAGCACTAGGCACTCTTGATGGTCATCTTCGGTGATGACCGTTGGCCATGTAGCTCAGGGATAAGAATTTGAAGTCCCGACCCAACAGATCGCGGTTCCAGTCCTGACACGGAGAAAAAGTACGCCCTGCTAACTAGTCCCCAAAAGCAGGATGAAAGAGTTGTCCAGGGTCTTTGTTGGTTATCACAAACATTTCCATTTCCATTTTCCGTTAATGTTTGTGGTACGATTACAGTGAATTCTCTTATACATCTGATCCGTTTGTAGTGTGCCCGCATGCTTGTCCAAGTGCAGTGATTGACACTTGAGACACTTGAGATTGACACTAGTGAGAGCACGCACGACCTATGTGTACCACAGGATGAACTGGGGTTACTTGTTAGTGTGTGTAGCATTCGAATTCGATGACAATTTTCACTTCTCGCTATAAAAAAACATTAGTCAGAATAGGAATAACCTGGTTTCTTGGTGGAGGTGATCGGTTTTTGAGAGTATCCTTTTCCGGATGAGAGCGGGTACAATAGAATATTTTAGGGCGGACATCTACAATGCACGTCCCCATTGAACAATTGATAAACTTTTAAACCAGCTACTCACGAGTAGTATATAAAATAATAGTAAAATAATAATAATAACAGTAATAATGGTAACACTGTGAAATGTAAAAAAGTGTGACCAATCAAAAATTACAAAAAGCTACGAATTAACAAGGATAAATCTGTTTAACATGTGCCAGGAAATTTGAAATATCATCTGGATATTTGTCGTTGGAAAAATTGAGCCATAATCGGTATTGGCCCACATCGAGATGGTCCCAAATCATATCACCTACGGTACCGTAGACGTTCTTTAGCCTTTTCTTTATATGGCGTATGGAGGTATATCTATTGCACTTGCAGTAGCGTAGAACACAGCCATCGCTGCTTCGCCTTTACTCCTGCA